GCAGTTGTCTTGTGCATTCACTACCGTAAATTACTGTAAATTTTGCATAAACGAAAATAAACAATTTCCTTTTGGCGGTCGTTTTTTGAAAATGATCCAGCTGTTCAATGAGCAATTTTCCAGTCTAGACTTTCACGTGCTCGTATGTGAGTCTCGCGCGTGCGTGACGGCTGAATTTGAAATCTTTAAATTGTACGTCGACAAGGAAAATCCCTTTAAATTTTCAACTTTCCAGCTTTTCTGGTTACGAAGTTGGCAATTTCTATGCCAAAATCTTTATGTGCTCGTACTTGTGAGTCACGAACTCCTCGCGGCTGAATTTTAAAACTTTGGCTCATGAATGTATAGAGAATAACCCTGCAAAGTTTCAGCTCGTTATCTTGTTTACTTCCCGAGATCGCTTTCCTGTTAAAAAATTTGCAAAATTTTTTAAAGCATTTGTACTTGGGAACCAGGCATAGGCGTGTGATGGTATTAAACGGGAGAGTCGCACATGGTGTAGGCACATACTCCTAAAATTTTAGCCTTTTAGCTTTTCTGGTTCTCGAGTTAAGAGCGGTTGACAAAAAGCGCGAAAATACAGACACACGCAGACAGTCTCTTGCAAATATACTTTTTTGCAATTTGCATATGTGCAAAAACACATAAAAACCTCTTCAGTAAGGGACTATAAAGCTGATACATAGGTAATACTGAAGGCAAATAAGGCGAAGCTGATGCCTAGGTAAAGCTGAGAGCTTTCATTTCCGCGTAATCATCAGATTTCATAAATATGGAAGCTTCTTACTGCAAACAAAAAACTCGTTGTCAGCAAAGGACTACCCCATTTATGGAATTGATGCTTAGGTAGAGCTGAGAGCTCTCAGCTTTACCTAAGCACCAACTTCATAAACGGCTTGTTCCCCTCCTTATCCTGTCCCCAGAGCCTGGCTCCAGGGCGGCATCTGGACATCTATCCCCCCTCCCCTAACTACTATCACCACTAAACGTTGCCTACTCCTCACTAGCCTCCTTGTTCCTCTCCTTTACCTTGTATTAATCCGTACTCCTGAGCTGTATCTAGGCACCTATTAACCAAGATCTCCCTCCTTATTCACGTGCAACCCCTCACCTCCTCCTACCCCAACGCACGCGGTTTTATAGCCAAACGCCGGCTGTCGATATCCAGCACACCTGCAAAAGTGTCAAGCTGCGTCGATGAGACTTGTTGTGCAAAAGCGTCAGCAGAGATGCAGGAGTGCAGCCGAACCGTGTGTTAGTAGCTGCTTAGAAAGTAAAATGGATGTGCAAAAGCGTGCTTTATATTTGCCTGCGCAAATCAACACTCTGCATTGACAGCTCAAGAGATCTCAGTATTTCTGAGTTTTTAAAAAACACATGTACTTTGTCAAAATCCTTCCGTTTTCACTCCCCATCGTACTTAGCTGAGTGGTAAAATCTGCCGGCAAATCACTCTTGTTGGCGAGGACACGTGATGTACCATCCCGCCCCCACCCTCCCA